AAGACTTGCTGTTTTCTAGTTTATTTCATGTTACACTATAATGTTTGATATGAGGCTATTGTTCTAAGCTCAACAGCCCCAAAAAAATGAAAAAAAATACACTAACTCCTTTCACAAAATCTAACATATACAACACAATTTAACTTGTAAAAGATTGCCGCTTATAGGAATTTTCTCCTAGGCAATCCTCAATTCAGAAAAGAATCAAAAAATGAATCATCTTTAGGTTCCTCCTTGGCCATTTGATTCATATAGGGACCAACCGAGTCTCCAAAACCCGAGTATGCAAAACTGCCAGTGTCTTGCAACATCTGAAGGGTATACGGTGCTTGGTTCTGCGATCCCGATGCCCTGTTTGTCATTGAATTGGCGAAATTTGTCATTGTCCCATTAGAATGACTCATCGTGGTAGATGGCCTAATAGTTGTAAGTACACTGTTTGAGCTAATAGGTTGTCTATTCATAGTATAACTCCCACTACCGCGCGCTGCAGGAACATCATGGTTGTGTTTTCCTTCGTACGTGGTGATCACCGCCCTCATATCATGAGATGCTCGCTCAACGTGCTTTCTAACCTGACAACCATTGTACGTGCATTTGTAGTAGCTCCTGCAGGAAATTAATGAATTGATGTCATTAAGGTTATTAATTTATTGAAGATTAGTTTATCGAGGTTTTACTGTACCTAGGATTTGGATTCCCCTTAACAACTTTCTGTCCATATTTCCTCCATCTGTAACCGTCATCAAGGATATCAATATCACTTGTGGTTTGAACGACGATTCTAGGTTCTCGAACCGTTCTGCTGCCCGAAGCCGATATGCTTTCATTCTCATTTTCCCCCTTCCTGAAAAACAGAAAGAAAATTAATCTGTAAGATATATATTCTGATATCATGTAATTATTGAAATTATCAAGTGCTAGACTCACCATCTCTTGGCATCGGGTTCATTTTCCTCGTCTCTTGAGTTACTCATTGGAGAGCCTTGTTCAATATCATCATCACCAAAAGAAGCTGATGAATTCTCCGGGGTTGTCACAGAGTCCCCACGAGCATTTTCAAGCAATGAGTTTGATTGATTTAAAGCTCCCACATTACTATATGCATGATTCTGAATCGAATTCGAAGATGATCTTCGAGTCGATTGAGGCTTCGGGTGATTATGACTCCCCTTGTATACTATTTCAGTAATATGTCCATCCAAATTTTGTTCGACCTTTTTCTTAGTCGGACAGTTTGGAAACGTACACTTGTAATAACTACGAGGATTCTCGCTTCCTTTAACTTGTTTTTGGCCGTATTTCCTCCAGTTGTATCCATCATCTGATTTCTTCTGCTCCCTCAAATACTGAGTAGGTTGAGTATAGTGCATTTGAGCCGAATTGCTCCCCATATTTGCTTGAATTGTCGAAACATCTTGAGAGAAATTCTGAAATGAAACTGATTCTGATTTTGGTGCTGAAAATTCAGTTTGCTTGTTTAGAGCATTGAATCCCCCATTTTCTTGATTCCTTCTTAATAACTCCTCCTGGTGAACTATAATCATCAGTACGGGGAACAAGCAATCAATCTAAATAAAAAATGATAATAAGAGGGGATATAATGAGCGTAAGCGCTCCTTTGTTGGGGGCTGTGTTGCCCTGCCTTACTCGACTATGTAAATTCTTTTTTCATATTATGTTCTGTTTAATAATAGAACTACTGATGAGCAGGAAATACAAGAAATTGTACTTCTGGATCATAATCATTCCTTCAAAACGTTTAAAATTACAGGGTTCGCTCTCTTTAATAATCTTGAAATTCCTAATTTACGGATCTAATTCTTCGAAAAATCATATAATTATGCAATAAATGATGAAGACAAATACACGAGTTGCTCACATAGACACATACCGATTGATTTCCTCCTGCAGAAGACAAAAACATAGACGAAGAACTGAAAGGCTTTGTTTGGGATCCAAAAGTGAAATCAGAATACTTTCTATCCTCATCCTTAGACAGCAAATCAGCAAAACTTCCTGTAGTGGGAGATGGAAGAACCTGCACAAACACATCAAAATCTTCATTAGTCCTATCTTGATCGAATATACACGCACACATACACACGACAACAAAATTAAGATCTATTTCATTAAACTCGATATCAGTTACATGAATCATTTAATAAAACCTCTCTCTTATCGAAAATAAAGAAACTTAAGTCTTCGTTTAAATAAATTTAGGATCGACTATATTTAGATGGACTAGCTACTTTACCCAATACCTTTGCTTACTTTTGGACATTTCTGAGTCAGAAGAGACATGCACAAATATACAAACTACAGACAGTATTTATTCCTAGTAAATTTAGGACGAATTCTTTTCATCACCATGGTCGGTTGATCATCCTCAACTAACCTTCTATACCTAGAACCCTAGCTTACTTTCCACCGTCTCTGAGTCAGAAAAGACATACAAATATACAAACTACAAACTAAATTTGGGTTCGACTTAATGAATTCTTTTTTAATCACCTCGTTCGACTGGCTAGCATAAATTAAAAATAAATTTGGGAACTTACATTTGATGATGAAAACATGACAGGAGAATCAAGAAACACGGAAGGGCTCAAACTGGGAGGAATAGAAAGATAAGAAGAAGGAGAAACTGGAGAAGGTGATATAGGCAAAGAAGCAGGTGAAAATGACTTATACTTTGGGATATCAATACTGTTTTGATCATTCATTTCTTGTTTATTACTGCTGCTGCGTGCAAGAAGACCAGTGAATGAAGAAATGTATGGTGCATCAACAGAAGTATTGAAGGTGCCACCTGAAGAAGACATTAGAAATTGAGGGAAGAATTTAGAAAGTTTTGAAGAGAGATTTGAAGGATAAAAATTATATAATATAATGAAATGAAGAGCTTGTTCTCGGAAGGTGATAGAAAATTTGACCGTGGAATTAGTTTCTTTGGTCAAAGTTGAGGGTTTGACTAACTCCTGGCGGCTGAATCAGTCTGGAGGAGTTGGGATTTTCTGCGGGTGGGATCACCTGCAACCGCCACTTCATCACGGGATATCCAACCAAGGTACCTCTTCCCTTTTTCTTCTCTCTTTGGATGACAAAATGGCTTGACGGCTAGAGCCGCCCGTGGCTTAGCCCGGGAAAGCTCGAGCCTGAGCCAACCCTTGTCATGGAGCATTTTTTGCCCGAAAGAGCTGGGCCTGTAAAAATAAAATAAAATTAGTAGTAGCGCAGGTAGCTTGTCCAAGAAAAAAAATTAGATTTGAAGCTCGGGGAAAAAGAAACGAGCTAGCTCGACCCGTTAAGGCTGGAGTCGAAAGCTCGGGTTGAGCCTCAATTTTTTGGCCAAGCAAGCAAAAAAAAAAGAACTCGAACCTTTTTTGCTCGAGCTCTTTGAATTTCGACTCGTAGCTCAGCTCGTTAACAAGGCTAGATCCACTTGATACTTATTAGTCATTTAGGGCTTCTTGGATTTCATTATAATGTGATAAGAATGAGTGGCAATAAGTAAATAGTAATTGTGAGTTTTATGAAATGTGTGAAATAAAATTAATGTTTGATTGTGATCATTAAAATTAGTGTTACATTCGCTCAATTTATTAATATATTCGTTTTAGGATATGTACAATTGACAAACGTAGGCCAAGAGTGTTTTGCACGAGAGATTTAGTCAACAAAATTTAGGTTTGATATAAACTTTTTGGTATTACAAATAATGATATGAAAGTGGAATTTCAAAAGAGTGCACGTTTTCATATTTTCTACCCACGTGAGTTTGAGAATATAGGTTAGATTCATTGTCCAAACATAATATTTCCTTAGATGTATGTTGTCCGTACAAAATCAAAATCTTTGAAAAATGAAAAGGCCAAGAAGAAGAAGAAGATGTTGCCTAGAAGGAAATTATTTTGTAACGTTCAAATCGGTTTTTTGTGTGTGTGTGGAGATTTGGAGCATGTTTGACTAAGCTTAAAATATATCCGTTATTGAGTCTCACATGTCTAATAAAAGCCAACAATAACAGTTAATTTTTCAATTTTTGGCGGCTGAATCAGTCTGGAGGAGCTGGGATTTTCTGCGGGTGGGATCACCTGCAACCGCCACTTCATCACGGGATATCCAACCAAGGTACCTCTTCCCTTTTTCTTCTCTCTGTGGATGACAAAATGGCTTGACGGCTAGAGCCGCCCATGGCTTAGCCCGGGAAAGCTCGAGCCTGAGCCAACCCTTGTCATGGAGCATTTTTTGCCCGAAAGAGTTGGGCCTGTAAAAAAAAAAAAAAAAATTAGTAGTAGCGCAGACAGCTTGTCAAAGAAAAAAAATTTAGATTTGAAGCTCGGGGAAAAAGAAACGAGCTAGCTCGACCCGTTAAGGTTGGAGTCGAAAGCTCGGGTCGAGCCTCAATTTTCTGGCCAGGCAAGCAAAAAAAAAAGAACTCGAACCTTTTTTGCTCGAGCTCTTTGAATTTCGACTCGTAGCTCGGCTCGTTGACAAGGCTAGATCCACTTGATACTTATTAGTCATTTAGGGCTTGTTGGATTTCATTATAATGTGATAAGAATGAGTGGCAATAAGTAAATAGTAATTGTGAGTTTTATGAAATGTGTGAAATAAAATTAATGTTTGATTATGATCATTAAAATTAGTGTAACATACGCTCAATTTATTAATATATTCGTTTTAGGATATGCACAATTGACAAACGTAGGCCAAGAGTGTTTTGCACGAGAGATTTAGTCAACAAAATTTAGGTTTGATATAAAACTTTTTGGTATTACAAATAATGATATAAAAGTGGAATTTCAAAAGAGTGCACGTTTTCTTATTTTCTACCCACGTGAGTTTGAGAATATAGGTTAGATTCATTGTCCAAACATAATATTTCCTTAGATGTATGTTGTCCGTACAAAATTAAAATCTTTGAAAAATGAAAAGGCCAAGAAGAAGAAGATGTTGCCTAGAAGGAAATTATTTCGTAACGTTCAAATCGGTTTTGTGTGTGTGTGTGTGGAGATTTGGAGCATGTTTGACTAAACTTAAAATATAGTCGTTATTGGGTCCCACCTGTCTAATAAAAGCCAACAATAACAATTAGTTTTTTAATTTTAATATCTACCGAACACGCCATTGGTGTTTGGTGGGGATTAAAATTAGATTTTTAGTGAACTATGATAGAAGTTTTTGAAAAAATGTGGGACCCATGAAATATGTGGTTAATATTGATTATTTGACTTTGACTTAAATTAAAATTAGATTTTAATTCATCTCAAACAAGCCATTAGAGATTAATTTGGTCACATGGAGTCCTCCATGTGTAACATTCAAGCATTTTGAGCCTTTCTAGGAAACAACCTTAGAGTTATTTCCTTGTTTTTAATATGATTTGGTGTTGTTTTCTTTGACTTTCACTATGCTTAGGTCACAATCCATGTGTAGTCGAAAGTTTTCCCAATGTTTGTCATTAGTTTCTACTACGTTATCTTATATTATTGCGAGATTAAACAAATTCAAGGTAACGTTACCTATTTTAAAAATAATAAACTGGCAAGACCTACTTTTATGCATAATAGTTTAGAAAAATGATGTAAGTACAGAAGAAATTTTACCGAATTTGTACAGATTTTTGAATTCCTCTCACATGAGGAGGTGGGGCTCACATGAATTAAATATTGTTAAAAATAAAGGGACCCATGTGTTGTGTGTATTCGGTACAAATTCTGTAAAAAAAATTCTGTACCCATAGAGTGATTGTTTGTTCTACACGCCGTTGATATTTATTTGACAATTGGAAAAATGATGTAAGTACAGAATTTTTTGTACCGAATTGGTACAGATTTTTGAATTCCTCTCACATGAGGAGGTGGGGCTCACATGAATTAAATATTGTTAAAAATAATGAGACCCATGTTTTGTATGTATTCGATACAAATTCTATAAAAAAAAATTTTGTACCCATAGAGTGATTGAATAGTTTAACCCCAATCACCTAAGTTAGATGTTGTGCTGTCCAATGTTATTATGGTATGACTTTATAAGAGTACAAAGAGGAAAGGACAAGCAATGTTAAAGCCTTTTGTTTGATTCCTCTTTAAATAACTTTTTTTTTTTTCAAACTCATTTTCAACCACACATTCTCGTAATAAAATATTCGACACTCAAACCTAGAAATTTTCATACTTTTTAACCACAACATTCTTCAAAAAATCACTATTCAAAATATCATTTGCCCCCAAATTTCTCTTTAATACACATACAACAACTTATCCAATATATTTCCACTATTCATTTTACCATCCATGTCTAACTTGAGCGTCGGTTTCCAGTGTGTAATCTAACGCTTGGTTATGAGCATAGAAATAGATTCTCAATAATAATATTATGTTGAGGTTAGTGACGATATGAAAAAGACCTCAACCGAGCCAATGGTTCTTAAAGCAAAAGATGGCGAAAGCTACAACCAATGGTATTAGCACCTCATACAAGGGCCAATAAAAATGTTGACAAAGAACATCGATCAATAATAGAGGCAGGAGTTTGTAGTGCAACTTGAGATAATCCCTTCCTCTTTTTGCACAAAAACAACATAAGAATTGCAATCTTCATGGAAAGAAAGACCAACATAATGAAAAAAAAATGCTCGGTGATGGCAATTCAACCTTCAAAGATCACTGGGGAAAAATCATAAATTCTCCTGCGTACAAAAACTCGAACAACAAACTCAACAATCAGCCTCTCAAACTCTCAACTTACATACCTCCTTACAAGTTCCACTAGCATTTTATACACTGTCAATGAAATACACGAACTTGTTTCCGAGTCCCCAACTCTGAAGTGTTGTTCATGAACTCGTTCCCAAGTACCCAACTATTGAGTAGGACTCCCTCTTTTAAGAGAGAGTCAGTACATCGTAAACACAAGTCCATGGACAAGCAAATCCTTGATACTCCAAAGATCAAACCATGTCATGAAATTGCTTCATTCCTCCTCGGTTAACTGTAGTTTCCAAGATTTGGGATCTAAGTCGGTCTGTCAATCACAAAAAAATAATCCTAAGTTCCATCATTTTGTTTCCACCCGTATTAGTGTGTGCTTCTCGGACGTCCAATTTATGTGATTATCATCATTCAGAATTCTTAACTATGGGATAAACAACCAAAACGTGACTAAGTTGAACCATCAAGCGTATTTAAAGATACCTGGAATACTTTATCTCTAAATTGGAAAACACAGCCGCGGGATTCCAAATGTTCGATAATAGGTGGTGGTAACAACGATCTGAATGATGATTGAAGCTTCACTTTTGTTAGTCCTCCACATGCCAATAGTGCGGCCGCTAGTCCACTGGGAGTCAAACCCTCGAGGTGGAGGATGGTCATACTCTGTAGACAGCTTACACTCGCAAGGGATAATAGGCCTACATCTGTGACCGAGGTATACGACAAATTTATCTGTGCACCGTAAGAGATGAACAATAGTTACTACATAATATTTTGTGGCAGCCAATGATGTTTAATTGAGGAGATAATCGACAGAATTAAAAAACCTGTCTGAGGTTATGAGAAAAGTGAGCAAGAGGAATCATTCCGGTGTCGTCAATGTGTTGACACTTTTTTATATCTAATTTCGTTAGTTGCTTGCATCCCATAGCAACAGCTGTTAAACCGAAAGATGTAATAAGAGGGCATCCTCTGCTTTCTAGAGTGTTCAACTTCGAACACGTTGATAATGACACCAAAGAACGATCAGTAATATTTTTACAATAAGATATGTTGATTGTTTCAATGACAGTGCAACCACGAGCAATTGCCACGATACTCGA